CCCTCCCTCTCTCCCCCCCCCTCTCCCTCCCTCTCTCCCTCCCTCCCTCCCTCCCTCTCTCCCTCCCACTCTCCCTCCCACCCTCCCTCCCACTCTCCCTCCCACTCTCCCTCCCACTCTCCCTCCCACACTCCCTCCCACGCACAAAAATCATTTTTTTAAAATGTTTGTAACAGCCATCAATAAAATCACCAAAGGAATTTCCCCCTATGTATGTTAATCGCACTTTCTTTTGCACGCCCATAAACTATTTTAACAATTCTAATGTCCCATACACGTACTAACACCCAGTGTATATCTTATCTTTAAAAAAAATTGTTCATTGTTTATTTCGGTATATTTAATGAATTCGGTTATAGTTTTAAAGTAAAATACCTTCCAAAGATTAACATCTGTAACATTATCGGGTTTCGAGATTTTGATATTGATAAATACATCCTTCCCTACCCCCCACCCGCGCCAAACTAAATTTTATTTTGTCATTGAATAGTTAACAAAAAAAACTAATTAAAAAAACTTGAAAATTACGTAGTTCAACATTTTATTTTAAATTATCTATATATCAGTTTTCACGAAATTTTGATTTTCATATTTAACATATTTTTTAATGTTTAACTCCTACGTTTTCCTTCACTAATTTAGCTAATTTCAAAATTACATTTATATATACACATAATAGTATGGTCATGTCTTGAAAGCGGTCAAGAGCTGGAGCTACTGAGCTATTCAGCGCAGTTAACTAGATTTTACTTTTCCTGGGTTGTAGCTTCTATTTTTGACCATCTGTCAATAGCTGAAATTAAAAAATATTTATAAAGAGACTAATATTCTAAAACAGGTGTCTCAAACTCACGGCCCGCAGGTCATTTGAGGCCCGCAAGACGATATTTTGCGGCCCGATACCTGACGGCAATGTTTAGTGCTAATGCGGCCCGCGCGTTTTCCCCATTCTCATATCTATGATGTGACCTTCCGCGACGGTTTCAGTCGAATCTCACCGTCTAGTCTAATTCTGATGATTATTATTAGGTTTGAATAGGTCTAGACGTTGATTATAATGGTAAAATCCGTTATGAAATCGGACTAAAAGTTTTTACTTTATAGCATTTTGTGAGGCAAACGTGGCCAAATTGCGGTTTTGGGATTGTGTACGTAGGCTACATATGAAAAGTTATTTCTTATTAATAAAGTTTGATCCGATTGTAACAGTTGTACTTTATTATAGACTTTATAGAATTTGTAATCGCTTTCTTGTGGGATACTTGATGCGGCCCAGTCTCACTCAGACTTCTACCTCCTGCGGCCGCCCTGATAATTTGAGTTTGAGAACCCTGTTTTAAAGGGGTGTGGCAATATCCCGGAAGCCTTTTGTTTGTTAAAAATCTTGGGGGTTCCCGGGAGAGAAACCCTTCATCCTACACAGTATGGAAACATAGGTACACAGTATGGGAACATGGCTTACACAGTATGGGAACATATATACACAGTATGGGAACATGGCGTACACAGTATGGGAACATAGGGTACACAGTATGGGAACATAGGGTACACAGTATGGGGACATTGGCGTACACAGTATGGGAACATGGCTTACACAGTATGGGAACATAAGGTACACAGTATGGGAACAAATGGTAGATAGTATGGGAACAAAAGTTACAGAGTATGGGAACATGGCATACACAGTATGGAAACACATGATAGACAGTATGGGAACATGGCATACACCGTATGGGAACATGGCATACACAGTATGGGAACATAGGGTACACAGTGCGGGAACATGGCATACACAGTATGGGAACATGGCATACACAGTATGGGAACATAGGGTACACAGTGTGGGAACACATGGTACACAGTATGGGAACATATCTTAGTTAACAGTGTGTTCAAATATTTTAAAATAACATCATGACGTATACATGACGCATATATGTTCCCTACCTAGATGTTAAACTGTGATGTATTACTAGATGTTAAACCATGATGTATTCCCAGATGTTAAACCATGATATCTAATTCGAAGTACAGCCATGATCATCACACATATTTTCTGGTTTTGTGACGCCATTACTAAAACAGTATTTAAAATAAAATATTCATAAGACGGAGCCAAGTGTACACAATTGTCTCAAATCTGCAGTTGACTATATGCTCCCTAGTGCAGTGTAAACGAAGAACTGATTCATTGATTGGAGTGCAGCCAAAGAATGTATTGCAACGCGAAAGCCCGAATGTACCGGTGAAATGTAGTGTCACGTGACTTGGTATCACGTGCCAACTCTCAAGTTCCAGGCCGATAGAGACACCATATGAAATGATGAAATCAGAGCGATTTTAACTAGAGCCATGAAATAGTTCGCTTATCAATTGATCGAAGGACGTAGAAGACGGGTGATGTTGGCCGAGAGGAAATCTTCAGGTCTCTGTGACTGTCCCAGGTTGAAAGCAACCACCACTTCCAACTTATATCTCACTATTGCACTGAGGATCTTCTTCGTATAGTATTGAGCAAATGTAGACTTGAATTTGATTCAAGTATAGCGGAGAACGACTTTCTCTACAATTCTGGAAACAAAAGGTAGATTTGAGATTGGGCGAGAATTTTCCAACACATTTGGGTCCAAATTTGCTTTCTTTAGCAGTGGAGTTACAACCGCCTCTTTAAAAGAGGATGGAACAATGATGGATCCCGTTACTTTAGTAACAATGATGGCTCCCGGTACATAGTAAACAATGATAAATCCCGGTACAGAGTATTGCAAATGTGAACAAGCAGAATATATATTTTTTTATAAACTTACATACACACACACCTTACTACACACTACACATTACTACACACCGCGAACGATGATGAGAAGTCGACACATTATGCCGTCACAACCAAATTGCAACTCATAGTTAATACAATAACATGATGCATTAATTAATATAGATTATAGGGCACAGAGATAATGACAATATCAGCTGAGGATGTAGACTACATAAAATGTGCCGGCATTAATAATGCGCATTGAAAAATATAATTAAAAAAGAAATCAGGCCATTGCAATAAAATAGTGCACATTGGGCATCACTTAGTGCACCTAGGGGTCACTCGGGTTATCAAAGTTAACATCTTGTGCATAGGGGCAAAGGGGGGGGGGGGGGGAGGGAACATTTTATATCAAAGGTGACACACAAAGAAATATGTGTTTCCTCTCCCAAAGATTGCACTGAACGACCACGAAAGACCACTGGACGACCACTAAAGACCATTGAAAGACAACTGAAAGACCACCGACTAGCCTGCTCCTCTGTTTGCATTGTTCATGTGTAGCGTAATGCCTTGATGTATGGGCATGGGATTGCCACGGGCTGTGGGGCATGCCCAAAACCAAAATCTCACCCACCCTCTTTTATTAATTTAAGTCTTCATGAACTAAATGCTGGTACACTTTTGTGTACAACGGTACTAGTGTAATACAGCAGTACTCGGTTGTGAACAATGGTACTGGTCTTAAACAGCTGTATTCGTATGTGTGTACAGTAGTAATCGAGCCATGCAGCGGGAACTTCGTGTTCTAATCAATTTCTAGAGATAACCCAACGGGTCTACCCGATAGTGATCTGTTTCAGAAATTCCCGATTATTCATTGTAACTTTGTAATTAGGAACACGTCATTTGTGAATTATTTTTTTTTTAAAAAAAGCTTCCTGGACACTTGTAGGTCGAATGACGTGGGGAGTTTCGCTGTCCCCTCGGTTTCAGTTTCGATGTACAAAGAACTCGAGCGCGCAGTTACGGTATCGATAAATACACTATAAGACATTTTAACATTTGCACAGGTTTTCATCACTAAATCAGGAGCTGGTCCAAATTTTACAACTCAAACCGAAAAAACGTAAGTTATTTGTTTATTACATTTTCGTTGCAAAGTAAGATTTATATTAACAAATAAGAAACTAACTAAGAAACTTTGATTCATATTCCTATAAATAAAAGATTAGAAAAAAAACAACGACAACGAACTTTTATTTTTAAATCTGCAAATAAGTTTATTTATATTAATGATTAAGTATTGAATTTAAATAGTAATTTTGGCTGAAATTTAAAGAACACGAAGCAGGTGTATTGTTAATGCACGACTAGATTCAAAATCTAACAGAAGCATGGGGGGGGGGGGGGGGGGGTGGAAAAAAGTTGTCATTGCGGTGGTCAAACTTCTCTATGGTCCGCGGTTGAAGAGCCTTTTCCCATAAAGGCCATGGTTTGGTTTGGTTAAGGTAAAGGGTTAATTTTTAAAAAAAAGAAAATTACTAATGCTTTATTCTTTAAACTTACTTTTTGAAAGCTTTTTATTTAAATTTGTATCACCGAGCCTTGAGCGAATCGGTTTTCGCGCATTTAAACACACTCGCTCACCTGGACGATATGTCGCATACAGCTTTTACTAGTGCAAGGAAATAAGCACAAGATAGGGAGAACCCTGTATAAAAGACAGCATGGAGCAACGTACGTGTCGGCAGATAGCCTTCTTCAAGAAAACAACAAATAAACTGAAAATGAACAGAACATAATGTATCTGATGGTATCTGATGCTGTGGGGGAGGGGGTGTCGAGAAAAGTAAATGAAGTACATTTGGTTTGCGCATACACATTTGACTTGTTCATATACATGGGACTTGTGCATATACATTGACTTGTGCATAAAAATTTGATTTGTAGATATACATTTTCCTTGCAGTGGGTTAACATATATACATTTTGTCGCATTTTAGACGGAAATGTCTTTAATCGTTCAAATATAACGTGCAAAATTCAAAATAAAATTCAGCTGGCAATTTCAATGGATTATAGCTACAATCGAAATAAAACACATATTTTTTAATGTTGCTCCACTGAAAAAGAAACTTTCAGGTGACTTTCTAGTTAGCACCACTTTTGATTTCAGCATTATTTTTTTTATTTCAGCATCACCTTTGATTTCAGCATCATTTTTTCTATCAGCATCATCTTTGATTTTATCATCACCTTTGATTTCAGCATCACCTTTGATTTCAGCACCACCTTTGATTTCAGAATCACCTTTGATTTCAGAATCACTTTTTATTTCAGCGTCACCTATGACTTCAGCATCACCTTTTATTTCAGCATCACCTTTTATTTCAGCATCACCTATGACTTCGGCATCATCTTTGACTTCACTAAAGTATTACATCAAAGTATGAAATAAAAACTTGTGCCTATAAACAACTTTTGTAAAAAAAGCCCTGAGTGGTGGAAGCCCAACTCGTTCTCCCCATGGACCTTGGTCAGTTCTGCATCTATTGTCCTGCAGCGTTTCTTTCAGACAATTCGTTGGAGAGATTCAGATTTTCGGCCGGGAAGTGGCAGAGGGAGGGGGGCGATTCCTTCTATCTATGGAGGGGCAGCATTTTCGGCAAACTGCAGAGTTTTTATGGTGAAAGGGGGTTTGTAAAAATCTTGACCCACCCCCCCAGGTGGCACTAAACCGTCATCAAAACCAAGCATGATATGAATAAAAAAGAAATAAATTAAGAAATTGTGTTCCAATACTAAGATGTGGGCCTCGGGCAGAAATACCCATAGCTACGCCACTGCTCAGTAGTGAAATTAGTGGAGAAAAGCAGTGTCGTCTTAAGGCATGGGCACACTGGGCACCTCATGCAATGGGGGGGGGGGGGGGGCGGGCTTTTTACCCCCGGGGGGGGGGGGGGGGGGGGGACGGACTTCATGCCTCTAGGGGGCCTCGCGCCTCTAGGGGGCCTCGCGCCTCTAGGGGGCCTCGCGCCTCTAGGGTGCCTCACGCTTCTAGAGGTATTGTGCTGCCAATATTATTAGTGAATAATTGAAACATTTTAGTTATTTTCAAAATGAAAGCGGAATCCCATTTTTCCAGTTTATTTAAACACGTTTTTAGATTCTCACATCAATTCAATTGTTTGGTACCAGCTTTAGAAAAAAAATCTTTTGATAAATTATCAATTTAAAAAAAATCCATGTTTTTTATTGTTTGGGAGGAGTAAATCAAAAAGTCTTACAGAAGGCACCAAACTTTCATTTTTGAGTAAATTAAAAATAAGAAAGTTGTAGTTGTTAGAAATTACAAATAACTTTTAAAGTTACTGCATCTGTTTGGATATTCGTGCTGTCCAATTTTCCCTCAGATAAATCGCATATCAATAAATGTATGAAGCCTTTCGTAAATATTTTTTTTTAAATACCATTTAGATACGATGTATATAAAAAAAATGACCTGTTTTAAATAGCCATACACAATTTAGAGACCTTTTTTTTTTTTTACAAAACCGTAATTTTTCTAATATTTTGTAACCGTAAATTTTGGGTGAAAACTACTTAAGTTTTAAATTAAATCCAAAATGAGAATTATTATAGTAATACACTAATAGAAAGTTTGTCGTTTTTTTTTAAAAAATCTGACGATCAACAGTTTTGAATATATTTTTTTGGGGGGGGGGGTGGATGGGGTATTTATATTCATTCATTGATGAATTATTTTTTTATTTTTTTTTTTGTCTTTTTAAGTAGGCGACTCACTCTACGACGCCGGCGCCCTTTGTGAAGTCATATAATATTGTATTTTTCAAAATAATATGACCTTGTTTTTAAATTTATAAAACGCTGAACGGAATATATAAGAAATTTAAAAAAATATATTTAGATTTTATAACTATAAAATATTTATATTTTAAAAATAATTACATCAATTAAACTTGATAAACTTTATCTGATTATATCCTAGAGTGGCTTTCCCACTTATCCTAATAGTATTGCCTCCGCTAAAGTTATGTTCATTTTGAAATAGGGCACTGAAATCATTTTTCAAATTGTTCAGACCTGACATATACGATGCTCTAGAATTAATGCTTTCTTAAATGATTGACACCATTAGGCGAGTTGTGACTTCAATGGAACTGAATACCATAAGAGACTTCTCATCTAATATTTTTGCGCGCAGGAAGTGAAAATGGATCACCCATTCATTGCCGATTTCTTGAGTTAAAATAAAAAATTCCCTAAAAGAAGTGTACACAAGTACACAAGTACTGTTTCCATGATCATCTACTAAAATAGGTTTTGTAAAAAAATCAGTGGATAATTGAACTTTAAATTTAGTACGAAGGAAAGCAAATAATTAATGCTATTGAACTCAAACATTTGTTGTTGCATCAAAGACGGAGAGATGGTTACACATTTATTGCTGTATCAAAGAGAGAGAAATTGAGACACATTTTGTACTTGCTGTCACGGAAACAGCTTTCTTAACTGAGCCACCTTTGCTTCGTAACTCTGAAGAAAAAATAAAGATAATCTAAGATGAGCTTTTTCATTTTCTCTAATTTATCTTTAGAGAAAATGAATCAAATTCTGTTTTGAAACATTTCCATATCTCCTATACTACAGTTGCCACCATCTGTTTCCATCTTTCCGGTTGATCAAATTTGATTAGCATGAAGACACGCCCATTATTATTTAGATAATTAATTTTAAGTCAAATCAATGTGTTAGTGAAGGTTAACTAATTAATAAGAATTTTTTTTTTTAAAAACGTAAAGACTTAGTCAGTAACAATAAACCGTGTGTCACAGAGTTCGTTGACTGCAAGCCTCGGTTTCGATTGGTCATTGCGGATCGGGGGAGCTCCCCTAGTGTTGTGTAACTTGTAGACGGGGAATTTTTTGTATATTCATTTTTTTTTTAAAGATAATTTTTTTTTATTATTTATGTCTAGGTTAATCTCATAAAATGATATGTGACTCATATGTTATTTTTTATGTCTAGGTTAATCTCATACGATGATGGGTGACTCATATGTTATTTTTTATTTCTATGTTAATCTCATATGATGATGGGTGACTCATATGTTATTTTTTATTTCTAGGTTAATCTCATATGATTGATGGGTGACTCATATGTTATTTTTTATTTCTAGGTTAATCTCATATGATGATGGATGACTCATACGTTATTTGTTATTTCTAGGTTAATCTCATATGATGATGGGTGACTCATATGTTATTTTTTATTTCTAGGTTAATCCCATATGATTGATGGGTGACTCATATGTTATTTTTTATTTCTAGGTTAATCTCATATGATGATGGGTGACTCACGACGCCCTGACCTCAGGCGTTGGTTGGAGATGATGGTCAGGGAAGGCAGGTGCCAGGGATTGACTTGGGAAAGCGAAGAGCACAAACTCTTCCGTCTGCCATGGCCGCACCAGAAGAGCAGGGACTGGAAGGAGGAAGACTGCCAGATACTCATTGAATGGGCCAGACACACTGGCAAGTATAAACAGGGTGACCCCTTAGACTTTCCCACGTGGAAGACCCGGATCAGAACAGCCATCAACAAAAACAGAGAGATCAAAGAAGTTCCGACTCTGCACAAACTTGAAGGTTCGAACCCCTACAAGGTTTATAGGTTTTTGCCGACATCCCCATCTAGAACCAGGAGGGAGCAGTTATCCCCTTCGCATCCTGGGAGCGACTCCAGTCCTTCCCCAACACCCTCGGTCAACGAGGTCTTCGGGCAGTCATTTAAGTCTGAACTGTCAACAACAGGGAGTGAGCTACCAGCCTTCCAGCAGTTGGGGATGATCAGCACTGCCATACCGGGCGTGTCGTATCAGTATCACCCACAGGAGACCATATTGTCCCAAAGCTTGTTGGCAGGGAGTAGCTATACGAGGGTATCCCCACAGAACATCCTAGATGTCAAGGACAACCCATTAGCTTTTATAATGTATATTCCCCATCAAACGGGTGACAGCTCCAATGTACAATCAAGCACAGAAGACATGGACACCTCCGACGATGTCCAGGCCACCAATTTACTGTCCACAACTCAGACCCAGCTTCAAAACATGCATGTTGCAGGTCAACTTGATCTAGGCCTTCCTTACAATTTATTCAACGACAACCAGACGTATCACATCAAGGATAACCTTTCATCCATGGGCAAGGACACGAGCATGCCTTCTGATCTCAAGTCCATCGATTCCCTGGATTTGATTCCACCGATTGTAGACGGGCTCCAAAAGAAACCGGATTTTTATCTGCACGTGCAGGTGTTGTATGGGACGACGCCTGCTCAAGTCGTCAACAGCTCCAGGGTCAAAACGAAACACTGTCGGCTGTTCTTCGGTTCTCCGAACAGGAGTTCGGGGCAAGAGACGGGCACGTCCGCCGCACGGGATGAGATACAGATGCCGGACTTTAATGAACTTCCACATTTCGATGAAAAACAAAAAAAGAAAATTAACGAAGCGCTATTTGAGAACGAAGGAGGGGAGGTCATCCTGACCTACTCGGACGAAGGTGACGTATACGCTGAGCGCCGATGCCTGACGCGTGTCTTCTGCTCCGATGGCGTCGCGGAGAGTGAAGTTGTTCCCAGGACTAAGAAGAATCGCCCGGTGGTCCCCTCCAAAGTATTCGATTACACGAACAGATTCTCGTCGGAGCTGAAATTGCACCAATCTGACCCCCAACATCCGCCCCCCAGGGATCATTTTGTCCTGACCTTCGGTCACGAGATCCTCAAGAACGATGACCGTCCCCTGCGTGTCGTGCCCGTGTTCGTCGTTGTACGACACGTGCAAGCCGCGCTAGAACGGCAACCGTTTGCTAAAGCTACCGTAGGAAATGCCCTCATTTCGGCAGATTCTGGTTCGTTCGAAAAGGTGGTTTCAATAGGGAAAGAAAAAATAGACATTTGATTAAAAAAAAAAAAAGCTATCACCTTTTCGACACTGGTGTAATAGTATTTGCCCAGTCTGTGTACAGGATCTGAACATAATCGCCCGTAATATTTAGACTAGAACGGCACCCGTTTGCTAAAGCTACCGTAGGAAATGCCCTCATTTCGGCAGATTCTGGTTCGTTCGAAAAGGTGGTTTCAAAAGGGAAAGAAAAAATAGACATTTGATTAAAAAAAAAAAAAAGCTATCACCTTTTCGACACTGGTGTAATAGTATTTGCCCAGTCTGTGTACAGGATCTGAACATAATCGCCCGTAATATTTAGAGTGTAGACAGCAGGGATCATCAAACAACTTATTTAGCCATTAAATTATATGTTTACTCCAATGTCACCTCCATCCCTATTTGTCGTGATGCAACAATTTAATTGAGTATTTATATTTAAAATGGATCATTGAATCGAGTATAACGGAGAATACAATTATTATAAACGAATGTTTAACGATAAATGCGATAATATAACTAAATTGAAATTTTCGATTTTTTTTATAGTAAGATAAAACAAAAGGCGACCAAACCAAAATGACGTGAACGAGACGAGGCGTATGATAACGGTCGCTGCTAAGCCAGTCCTAACAACTAACGTTTGGAAATAAATAAACAGTATAACAAGATATGTTGAGGCTTGACCAAAAAGAAACAAAAAAGGCAGGACACTTAAAAAGCCGTTTCGGTTTAACGCTTTCTTCCGCAGACGAGACAGATAAATAGAACCGAGTTATCATCTTGCTCTACTATTTCGTTACTACCCAAACTTGTCAGCAGTCACACTTATTATTGTCCCACTTATAGTGTCACACACATGATGTCACACATAGTTTGTCCTTTTCCCTGTTGTGAGTGTTTTTGTCTGATCCCCCTGGCCAGATTCAGTGTTGCAAGAACTAGCATTGCCTTAGTGACATGAGATATTTTCTTAAATACAATTTTAATTAGGTCTTTTGAGGGTTTAATACCTCCAAGATTTTCTGTTTATCCCAACAGGGGTACACTACCCTTGTTCGCTTATCACTGGCATGTAGGCTACAACAATATCGACTGTAATATCCAGTCTGTGGATTGGGGTATAACAACGTTGACTATAATATCCAGTCTGTGGATTGGGGTACAACAACGTGGACTGTAATATGCAGTCTGTGGATTGGGGTATGTTTTGTTTCATAATTAGATAACGTATTATGAATGAAGTACAACAGTTGACGTAGGCATTATGGAGTTCAATGGTTGACGTAGGCATTTTGAAGATATGAAGTTATTAAAGAGGTCAATACATGTTGTCAGATATTGTTTTTAATGTACATCTCGAAACGTTCTTCTCTCTAAATAGACATGTTCTGACATTCTTTTATCTAGGTGCAATTAGTAACATATCTTGCCAAAACAAAAGTCAACAACAACACAAATTATAAGCACAGCATAAGTCAAACACGACACTGAATGATTGAACGAATTCTCAGCTTAAAATTAAATTATCAACCAGCACCTTAAAAAATCCTATTTAAAATTAATGTAAAAATTGGGCACACTTAAAACAATAGGCTTTGTCATGTAATGGCGGAGATCTATTAATAGATAAAACATCCTGGTATTCCGTTCGGCCAATGTCTCAACAGCTGTTCAGTACTTCTACGTTAATGTCAGCCGGCATAGTTGGTCTTTAACTAGGCGAAAACGTGTTTATAATTTTATTTTACGAAATAGTTCACAAACAATTGTTACTGCTATATATATATGCGTATATATATATTGTTAGAAGCTATTTTTTTACGACAAAGGGTCTAAAAATAGTAACATTACGTAATGTGATGTGACGTTTTCCGGTCTTAGAAATGACGAACACTATAACTAAAAAAAAAAAAAACCCAAGCAAACAAGAGCTGCCTAGCAGCCAAATGCTATGCACCAATCACACACAGTCATCAGGGATTCTCAACATATAGACTAGAGTCTAATATATTGTTAGAAAGTTATTTTTTACCACAAAGGGTTTAAAAATAGTAAAATTACGTAATGGGAGGGGACGTTTTCCGGTCTTAGAAATGACGAACACTATAACTAAAAAAAAAAAAAAACCCAAGCAAACAAGAGCTGCCTAGCAGCCAAATGCTATGCACCAATCACACACAGTCATCAGGGATTCTCAACATATAGACTAGAGTCTAGACATGTACCCATTTTTGTCATTGTGTTTTACGTGAGTGTTTGTAAAGGTTCCGAGACAGGCTTATTTCTAGCTCAAGTCAAATGTACTAATGAATGAACTACAGTTTTCACACATTTTCATGGTTCTGTCCTTTTTATATTTCAAATATGTCATTATCATTTGGCTATAAATTTTTCTTCTTCAAAATCTTTTATTTGCAAGACGTATCTTTCCATTTATCTTGATATCTTCAAATATCTTCCTTAATAAAAAGAAAAGAGCTCAAGCATTGTTTCACTGTAAGTCCGCTTGCCACCCTAGCAAGAATTGTGTTACTGTGAGTACATTAGTGTGTCATGGTCATCTTGATGACGACATTGTGTCATGGTCATCTTGATGACGACATTGTGTCATGGTCATCTTGATGACGACATTGTGTCATGGTCATCTTGATGACGACATTGTGTCATGGTCATCTTGATGAGGACTTTGTCTCACGAAGCACGTGCAATAGCTTGTCAGTTCGTTGTAATTTGGTCATGATAATTTCCTTCTAATAGCTTCTTATTGTCCATGGACTCAGGTGACAAGTGAGATGTCTCCGCCAGGTAAACCTCATTTAATGGAAGATCAAAATGCAATTAAATTACCTTTATACAAGCCTTTAACAGGAAACAGCCTTGTTCTATCACGCCAGTTATAATTATATCCCTGGGCATCGTTACATTTTTTGTACATATTAAAAATGCTTAAATATACATAGATACAGTTTTTTGTCTAAAGCAACTCTGTGATCCAGTCCTTAACGAGATACTGACCGGCGGGCCTAATGGTCATAGTGGCCATTAGACTGTAGGTCCTTTTCCAGCGTTTCAAAATAAGTTAATTGTTCTTATTACTCAGATAATTTTCATGGTCTGAGACAATAACAGCTAATAATAGTTCTCTCGGTACGTCTGCATGGGTGTAACACTGTGTTCAAAGGGCGCGCTAATTAAAATTCCCAAGAGTTAGCACAAACTAGGAATCGCATAAATTGCGTTACTTGAATGCATGTTTCGTCAAGTAACTTCCATTGTTGGGGAGGGCAAGAATAGCCACTTCAATTGTTGGGGAGGGCAAGCATTGCCACCTCAATTGTTGGGGAGTGCAAGCATTGCCACCTCAATTGTTGGGGAGGGCAAGCATTGTCACTTCAATTGTTGGGGAGTGCAAGCATTGCCACTTCAATTATTGGGGAGTGCAAGCATTGCCACTTCAATTGTTGGGGAGGGCAAGCATTGCCACCTCAATTGATGGGGAGTGCAAGCATTGCCACTTCAATTGTTGGGGAGGGCAAGCATTGCCACCTCAATTGTTGGGGAGTGCAAGCATTGCCACTTCAATTGTTGGGGAGTTCAAGCATTGCCACTTCAATTGTTGGGGAGTGCAAGCATTGCCACTTCAATTGTTGGGGAGGGCAAGCATTGCCACCTCAATTGTTGGGGAGGGCAAGCATTGCCACTTCAATTGTTGGGGAGTGCAAGCATTGCCACCTCAATTGTTGGGGAGGGCAAGCATTGCCACTTCAATTGTTGGGGAGTGCAAGCATTGCCACCTCAATTGTTTGGTGAATTATTTCTGGTACTTTACTTAATGTCTTATACAGGTCCATTTTCTAGAACATATTCTCCAAACAACTGTAAGCCAGACGACATGTGATGTAGCCTTCCTTAATTCTACAGCTGTTGAAATACATTCTCTTGGTCACCGATCCAAAGACATCATAGTTGCCAACTCAGTCAAAAAACATTGACAGAAAATATGTTAAATCTACAAACTTTTAAAGGAAAAACATATTTTTTTACGGAAATATTTAAATAGACTTAGGAACAGTTTCTGTTTTGTTACAGACATCCTAAAGTTTCTGTTTTGTTACAGATAACCTTGAAACTTATCCAATTAAGTCATGGACATTTGTCTAACTAAGTCATGGGCACTTGTCCAACTAAGTCATGGGCACTTGTCCAACTAAGGCATGCGCACTTATCCCAGTAAGTCATGGACATTTGTCTAAGTCATGGACATTTGTCTAACTAAGTCATGGGCACTTGTCCAACTAAGTCATGGGCACTTATCCAACTAAGTCATGGGCACATGACAAACTAATTCATGGACACTTATCCAACTAAGTCATGGGCACTTGTCCAACTAAGTCATGGACACTTGTCCAACTAAGTCATGGACACTTATCCAACTAAGTCATGGGCACTTGTCCAACTAATTCATGGACATTTGTCCAACTTAGTTGTATATCACATTTTCACCTATCTAAAAGTCCATAAAAAATACAATTTGAACTCATTAAAATGTTTATTGGTAATGGCTACATGAAACAAGTGATGGGATATTTACAAAGAAAAGCAATCATAAATTATAATATATACATATAAGTTTAAGAAAGGGGAAAATATCCGTATTTGCACTAAGACACTTCGTTGCCGCACTTTGCATATCATACACAAGATGATATTAAATAAGCAATGGTAAAAGACCATTACTTGTATCACACAACATAATGTTACAATCACAATTCTGCATCACACAAATAACGTTACAATCACAATTCAGCATCACACAACATAATGTTACGAGCATAATTCTGCATCACATGGTATAGCATTCGTTCATGAATCTTTGACTAGTTCTGCAGGGCACAACACAACAGCGCCACACGACAGCACCAAACAACAGCGCCACACAACAGCCCATCTTTGACTAGTTCTGCAGGGCACAACACAATAGCGCCACACAACAGCCCAAAAGACAACATTCCTCGGCTCCGTCTGTTGTGTCTCGCCTTCTCTCCGTAACATAGACGCTGAAATTATACAAGGTTGACACATTATCATGATATAGGTAATCTGATTTACAGTGAGCCAATGCTCTGGTATTTTTTACTCGTGGTCTTGTTAAGTGTCTCTTTATTATGATTTTAGTTCCTCATAATGTGAGCTATAGCTGACTTAAAAGGTGAACGAAAACTTCTCAACTACAGCAAGTCAAGGAAGACCACACATTCAGAATCTAGTGTGCCAGGGAGATCACACAGTCAGAATCTAGTGTGCCAGGGAGACCACACAGTCAGAATCTAGTGTGCCAGGGAGACCACACAGTCAGAATCTAGTGTGCCAGGGAGACCACACAGTCAGAATCTAGTGTGCCAGGGAGACCATACAGTCAGAATCTAGTGGGCCAGGGAGACCATACAGTCAGAATCTAGTGTGCCAGGGAGACCACACAGTCAGAATTTAGTGTGCCAGGGAGACCACACAGTCAGAATCTAGTGTGCCACGGAGACCACACAGTCAGAATCTAGTGTGCCAGGGAGAACACACAGTCAGAATCTAGTGTGCCAGGGAGACCACACAGTCAGAATCTAGTGTGCCAGGGAGACCACACAGTCAGAATCTAGTGTGCCAGGGAGACCACACAGTCAGAATCTAGTGTGCCAGTGAGACCACAAAGAATCAGATTCTAGCATGGCAAGGAGACCAGAACCACAATCCAATAAGGCAGGGTGGACCACACAACCATATTCTAGCATGGCAGTGTAGACCACACAACTATGGTCTAGTATGCAAGGGAGGCCACTAAAAAAATTGTCTCGTAAATCAGGGTAGATTACACAACTATGGTCTATTTAGGCAGTGGAGACCACGAAATTCCAATACAATAAAGCAGGGAGGCCAGTTAATTATGCGACTTCAGCCAGTAGTTTTTTTTTTTTTAATTATTACGTTGGCATGTTCTAATTCCTTAAGATAATTGGGGGTGGGGGTAATCAGGTCAAGGAAATCTAGCATAAGGTTGTGGGGGGGGGGGCTAACAAAAATTCCAATACAATAAAGCAGGGAGGCCAGTTAATTATGCGACTTCAGCCAGTAGTTTTTTTTTTTTAATTATTACGTTGGCATGTTCTAATTCCTTAAGATAATTGGGGGTGGGGGTAATCAGGTCAAGGAAATCTAGCATAAGGTTGTGGGGGGGGGGGCTAACAAAAACAATCACAAAACATCGAACGTACCGGCAAAAGCACACACAAATTAAATAGAAGTCCATATATATATCAAAAATAAATAGCGAACTAAAAATAAATAATTAAATTAAAAACAAAACTTGTCTCATTACTATTTCTAGCATTCCTTACATTTGTGTGTTCGGCTGCTGGTAACGTACTTCACTTTGGTAACTTGGCACTGCTGTATACACTGTTTGGGCTGAATTGCCATAATCTCCTGTTGGAGGGTAGGCATAAAGTGGTGCCGTACTCATAGCGACGTCAGTGTTTCGTGTGTCTGATGTCAACAAACAAAAAAGACTGGTTGGAAATATTTTTAAATTTAATAGTTTAAAAGAAAAAAACAAAACATTTGGTGAGCGCTTTGATCAAAAAGATTGTTTGTTCTTTTTTTAAAACTGTTAGAGACCATAAACGAGAATTTTCTTGATGAATAATTTACATTCTCCATCTGACATGGGCACCCAACAATTTTGAATTTAGTCAATTAAAAAAAAAATATCGTTAAAAAAATGTCTGATTTTCGGCGCATTTTTATACAACCCTGTATTTTAAATTGATTTTTTAAAAAAAAGATTGTAAAATAACATTTTCTGTTAAAAGAAAGATTTAGTCAATGGGCGTCCAATTTAAATTTAGTCTGACTAACTTAAGTTGCAAATGGTCTTTTAAAAAAAACAAAACAAAAAAAAAACAACAAACAATAACACCCAAAAAAAACAAAAAAAACATCGACCAAACTTTCTGGTAAATCAAGATAGACCTGCATATTTAATTAGATTTACATCATTTGAAGATTTAGAAAGTTTTGGAAAATATTAGAAAATAATAGAAACTATTAAAAACCATTAGAAAAGATTAGAAACTTTAAAAAAAATAATAATAAACCCCTGTATTTTAAAGTGATTTTTTTTTAAAGATGGTAAAATACCATGATTTTTAGCAAACAGAAGGCTTAAAACAAAAATACATTTTAAAATAAAAAGAAAGATATAGTCATGTTGCTTCCAATTTAAATTTAGTCTGAACAATTTAAGTAGCATATGATCTTTCAAAAAAAAAAAAAAAAAAAAAAAAAAAACAAAAGTAACACACAACCCCCCCCCCTCCCCCCCAAATAAAAAATCGACCAAACTTTCGTGCGCCTGGCAAATCAAGATAGACCTGCTTATTTAATTAGATTTACATCATTTGAAAATTTGCCTTGGCAGTGCTTTTTGGAGCAGTAACTTATACACGCTATTACTGATCTCAGCATTATGTTTAACTAGATCAGAAGATATTAAGCTAACTGTGGACATTGGAACCTACATCACGAATGATGCCTTTTAGGTCACACACCAATTAAACATTCATTGCAACAGTTTTTTGTTTTTTTCAAGTAAAGAGAGATTCCAGCTGCTAAAAATCTTGAGGAAATCAATGGAAATTAAATCAAAATTGAATACAATGTTACTTTAAAATTGAAACATGGCACATTTCTTTTGTTACACGACATGTACTGACAGGGCCGTAAGAAGGGGTTGAATGGAGCAAGAGGGGGGGTACTCACCCTGGGTTCCAACATCATTTTAGGGCACCAAAATAATCTTTACATAGGACCTTAATAGTAAATTAATCGATAAAATCCCATGTACTTCACAAAATTGTTTATTGACATCCCAACCGTCACTTTTTTCTATACATATATTGTTTAATTTAAAAAAATGTTTGATCGTGTTGGTGTATTTGCCTGTGACAGCTTCACCTAACACGGCCCAACCCCCTCCGGGCCCACCTTTAGTGACGCAATTTTTCAAAAGCTCGATTTAAGAGGATCATCTGTTTTGATACAGCTTAATTTCATTTTTATGTCTTAAATACGGAAACAAAATTAGATTACTGTCTGCAGTCATAAAACCCACCGAAATAGGAAGGGCGGGGCCGTCAGCCCCCGGGCGTCGACGTTTTCTTTACATAGTGTTACGGAGTTTTCAACCAACTCCAGAGTTTTGCACTAAGGAGAGGCGTCAAAAATCTTAACCAGCCCAGGGTAGCACTCGCCCTAGCTACGCCACTGCATGAAAAAAATAATAATCGTATTACCGTCTTATGCCATCAAACATAATTGTATTTCTGTGTACATCCATAAAAACATAATTGTATTACCGTCAAAAGCCATCGAACATGATTGTATTACTGTTAATAGCCATTAAAAATAATTGTATTACTGTCAAAAGCTATCAAACATGAGTGTATCGTGGACCCTTAAGATATAGAAGAAGAAGAAGAAGAACAGCCATCAAAAATAATTGTATTACTGTGTACATTCATCAAACATGATCGTTCTATTTGAAGAAAACAAAACGTCAATCTTACCTCGCTGATGTACTTTCTCTAACAGACTTTCTCTAACAGACTTTCTCTTAAGACTCCGAGTGATGAGCTACACCTGGAGACGCAGTCAAATGCTTTTTTTTTTTAATGACACGCGAGATATGAATCACGTGACAAACTTAATCATCGAGGCCTTCCCATTTAGGCCATATTGCCCATAGCCATGCAAAAACTAAGACTTGATATCTGTCACATTGTGTGATTTATTTGTGGCTTAGAGTCCACGGTATCATATCAGGCAGATTAGACGCACTCACATGGTGACCAATGCTGGGAATTTACCCAGATTTAGACAGGACATAGGTTATCCGCCCCTTCCATTGTACTCAAAAAAACAACAAACACACATACGCTTGATAAAAACAACAAACAAACAAACACACATACGCTTGATAAAAACAACGTCTAAGCGGCAACATGCATCGATAGATATAATAAACATATACACACACAGACACACACACACACATAAATGATATGTCTGTTTAAATACGGTCGAAATGGCATGTTGATTGCTTTTACATGTTGATTGCTTTTACATGTTGATTGCTTTTACATGTTGATTGCTTTTACACGTTGATTGCTTTTACATGTTGATTGCTTTTACATGTTGATTGCTTTTACATGTTGATTGCTTTTACATGTTGATTGCTTTTACATGTTGATTGCTTTTACATGTTGATTGCTTTTACATGTTGATTGCTTTTAAATCCTTTATACTAACTTTGGTTTTATTCGTGGTTTTTTTTATGACTGGGTGGCAATATCTCCGGATGGGTAACTGACCCACTTCCCGCCAACCTATCGAGCTGAAACTTGCCGATGACAACACATTCTTTCAAATTTTCTGCCCCATCACACAAACCCGATTTCCCTGCAAAAATCGTTTCATTTGTTTCAAGGGAACGATGAAGGAAATGTGTTGCCACTGATTTCACGAAATAAAATTCCCGATAACTGCGTTAAATGGGATTCTTTAAAAATTATATCGCGAGTGGGTTTGGTGCATTGTTCCCTCTAAGGTTTGTTGGTTAGTGTGCAAAATCATACAGTTGGGTGCAAAGTTTAACAGCATCAATTTTTCTGCGTGCAAAATTTTACAGCCCACACACAAAAACACACACTTACATGGAAATTTGCTGCGCGGTACTCAAAACTGCTGCGCGGCGTCTGTGAGATAGCTACGCGGCCGCGCAGCCGCGCAGGTTAAAGGGGACATTGGTTTGGTGCGTAAAATTTTATTTTGTTTTGCTGAAATAGTTGGTGAAATAAATCTGTGATGTAAAAGAGGGTGGGTCATTAGAATAGTAGTATATTTCAGGGGCGTGAACAAGATGTGCGGCTGCAAGCCTTGGTTATGTGGGGGGGGGGGGGGGGCCCCGGTTTGGGTTTTTATAAAGTGCGTTACTTGTATGTATGTTTTGTCCAATGTTCAGTCCCAGCCGCTTTGCTTGATAATAAATGTTATAAATGTTTAATTCTTAACTTTTAGAAATGAATGATAATATATTTTTTGTAATAGTTACGTTGTTGAATCAGGCGATCACTAAGTTTTTTTTTTTTTTTTGTTTTTTTTAAAGCAGCCAAATTTGTTTGATGAATAACGCAAGGATTGGTTTGGAATTTAGACTATTTTGACCGTCCTCGCAAATGAGCAACAAACTATGGGTGTAACCAGTCATTGGCGGTGACTTAAACAGCAACAGCATATTACTAAACGAAATCTCCTGTCGTTTAAGTTGAAGACACGTTCAACAACATACAACACTATGTTGACAACCTCCTGATTTCTGTTTCTAGCCGCCTGAAAACACCAACACTTGATCCCAACTTACAGGAAACAAATATTTCTTATTCTTTAAGTCAACCCATCCAGTCAACCCATCCAGTCAACCCATCCAGTCAACCCATCCAGTCAACCCATCCAGTCAACCCATCCAGTCAACCCTCCAATCAACCCATCCAGTCAACCCATCCACTCAACCCATCCAGTCAACCCATCCAGTTATAATCCACATTGTTTATGGAATATTATTGATATAGCGTACCAGAAGTCATCGATGCCTAGCGTCCGTGAACCCAGAGGCTCACAAAATATTGGTAAGGGGAGTGTATTAGATAAGATTCGTCTATTGATCCAAATTAATGGAACTATTTTATTAATTACAACGTACAAATTCATTTTCAGCACATACATACATATTCTTACAAAGACAAACATTTTTAAACTAGAAAAATTTAACACAAGACATAATATAGAACGATTTCACATACGACATCTATAGATCAATTTAACATAAGACATCTATTAAAAAATTTAACACAAAACATCTATAGAAGAATCACAAAACATCTAAATTATTGCTCAAGTGCATAAATCAGCCGTCATATGCAAGTAACTTTTCTCAATAAGTGACAATGTTGACTTTAAGAGTGATTATCGAGATTATAGATTTTGGGTGGGAGCATGCAGATAATTTCTTATAGATTAAGGCACAAAATGAATTTTAATATCCTTCAGTCCTTACTTTGAGGGAAAGAATTCACCCTGATCGAACTGATCTTAGGTAAGGCCTATCTGTGACGAAGAAGGTGGATTGTTTGAGCTAATCTTTTACTACGAAAGCTTTGCTAATGGATTTTGCTTCAAATAGTTCTGCAAGCGAATTTAGTTTTGTTTGAGCGATATTAATAGCTGTCTAGATAAGTCTAGTTAATTGGTATCAGATGAGAAGCTGTAATACTTAAGTGTCTTAAGTTCAGTAGGCTCCCAATTGTTACAGTGTAAAATACGTAAATACTTTGTTAACGCACAAATTGTTTGATTCTTTCACGATATAGAAAGCATACCAAATATAATCTTTCCTGTTAATAAAAGGTTATTTGTATCGTTGAAAGCTTTTCATCGTGTTTTTCTTTAAAGACAAAAGATGGTAATGATAATGATAGTGTATTGTCATGGTAGTTTTGCAAAGCTAGAACCACGACAGATATATTCATGTTTAACAGTGTTAGCACTTTCCAATTAAAAAAAAAAATTAAGTGGGATTTTGGGTTGAAGTTTAGGAACTTGGTTTTTAAAAGGTTCACCATCACTGGCCTATTTGAATAAATTAAAAAAAAAAACATTTTCAAAAAATTAAATATTTTGTACATTTTTAAAGCAAATTGCACAGCAAACCAAGAAAAATGGCATATCTCGACTTCTTTTACAGAATTTCTCAGATCTCGGTAAAAGGAGTGCCCTTTTCTCAAAAATATTAAAATATGAATTTAAAAAACTTGGGCTCACTAACTGTTGTTGATTTTAAAATTAATTAGGCTCCAATCATAATGAATAGTCCATTGGAATGGGATAATTTTTATAAAAATAAGGTAAGTAGGGTCATAAAATTAGATGTCAAAAACTCAAAATTGTCAATCGCCCCATTTGCCCACTCCTAGCAAACAAGACCCATGGTGGGGGTTAGGACGCAGAACGCAGAGTTTATTGACGCAGATGCGCACCGAGCACTGCCACTTGCGCAGATATTTCTGGCGGCTGGATAACAACAGGGATCCTACCTGTCGGCATTGCAGCCTGGCCCCGGAGACCCTAGAGCACCTGTTGACCAAATGTCCCTCACTAGATCTCCCGGGGGAAGCCAGGGCGGTTGGAGGACCCTTTGTGAGGAAAATGTTGTATGGCTCAGCCCAACAGATGGAGTTGATAGCCAATTTACTAGCCTAGCCGGGGTCATAAGAGAGTAATCTCAGACCCTCACTAGAATATATGTGTTTGTTAGTCACTTCAAGTAATAATATTAATATAGGGCCTACTCAATAAATTTTAATTTTATAATTTTTAGACAGCTTATTAGTAATTAGTGAAATGACCTGAGAGTGATTTGTCTAATTTTAAGCCCATCTTCAATAATGTATATACTATTACTATTAAAATATACTAGGATTTCTCTGAAAAAATTTGGTAGCGCCAACAAGTCCAGTAATAGTAATGACTAATATCATAAATGTTTGAATATAACTAAACTAAAATAAGTGGCACAGTATTTCTAAGTTAGTTTAAATTCTAAGCTCTCTTCTGCAGTCTGCAGTAAACACAGGCGCTACAGCTCTCGCTGTGTCATTTTGAATTTTATAAAAAATTTTAGGTGGGCCACCCCTCCCCCTTTTCCCCTCGATAACTACCTTTCCCCTCCAAATCAAAGTGACAGTCGCATCACCCCTCTTATTATTTAAAAGTTGGATTTTAAGGTGTTTCAAATATAAAAGTAACTGATGTATTAAAAATCAATTTTATAAGTTGAACTTATTATTTGATGTGTGGGCCTTATTTAAAAAAAAAAAAGAATTTTCACTCCCCCTGCTCAGATGACATTTTCAAACAAAACATCATGTCATTGTGTATGAATTTGAGCAAAGCTGAATTAAAGCAAAAAGCTGATGACTTGGACAGAAATTTAAGAGGAACAAACAACTTTTACCTAACTTTCTATTTAATTTATTCAATATATTGCCTAGAATTATTTGTTTGTTATTATCTCACTTTTTGTTATTTTGGAATTTGTTAACAATCATTTCAATGTATTATCTAGAACTATGGATTTCTTTAAAATGATCATGCGGCCCAACAAAAAAAATTCCATGTGGCCCTCTGCGCAAAACGTTTGCTCCCGTCTGGTCTATACATAGGCCTATATCATAAGATATTGATATTTAATTTGATATATTTGCCTGGAGTGTCTATATAAATATAATGTAGCTTATAGCAAATCCAGTGTTTGTAAGGACTAGGCCCTAGCTCAGTAGGCCTAGGCCCTAGGTAGATGGGGGGGTGGTCATTAACTAATAGTAAATTGTGTTTTAGATTAAATTCACATTAGTTTTTAATTTTTTAACAATTTCTTTAGTTCGAAAGTGTGGCGAATTTTGTGTGCTTTTTTGTGTTTATGTTTTTAACCCATCCGGGGCATAGGCCCTCTACAATAATTTTCCATTCATTTTTGTTCTGTGCTTTTCTCTCCAGTTGCTTCCAAGTGTATACCACACTTTGTGTGTCTGCCTCTAGCTCTTATCTCCATGTATCTCTTGGTTAGCTGAATTTACCTTCATGATCTTTGTTTTGCTTTTATTTATGTTGAAACATACTTTTTTGGAATCTAATATTTGTGACACATTGTGACGGGGGAGTTTAAAATTTGTCAAAAATAGCCTGACATGCTTTATGGATGGCTCCTAGGCCTAGCTACATGTTGATATTTATAATAAGGCTTAAATTTAGTATATTTAATTTAGGTATGGAGCTTCTATATAGGACATTAGGCCTACTGTACCATACATAACATTTTTATAATTTCTTAGAAATTTAGGCTAACAATTTTTTAAAATGTTTTTCAATTTAGACTACACATTCACAAGGACTGCTTCATATATCGATAATATTATACCAGATATCTACGCTATCAACAGTCCAACACTAGTTCGACAACAGATTTAAAGCTATTGAAGAAGATGCGCTTAAGGCGATTGCGAGGACAGCGATTGTTTAAATGTATTTGCTGCATCTTCTTTGCATTCATGTTTTGGACATTTGTAAGCTATCTTGTAAGTATTTGTTGTATTATAAAAAATTGATGCCTGTTTTGATAGCAGTAGTTAAAAGTCTTTGGCTCGTTACTCTTTTTAAATGGAGATATTTCGGTGGGGAAGTATCTAATGTTAAAGAAATTATTCAATCAATAAACAGCTTTTGTAGTATGTATATTAAACATAAAGTTTCGTATTATGTCATGAGATTTCTACTATCACATTATTATTTATTTAAAAAGGAAATATTTTCAGAAATCTAATAATTTTTGCATAAAAATATTGTTAAATAAATCTTCCTCCAGTTTTCTTTTAATGATGAAGATTTTCCTGAAGATGTTGCATATGACATATTCATAGATGAAACAAAAGAGGACCGTAAGTAAATTGAAGTTACTCACATTAATTTTTCTAACAAATATTAATGAAAATTTAACTAAAATAATGTTTTTATGTCTCAATGTAAGAATGAAATAAAACAATATTGAAAGATAGCTATACAATTAATTCAACAGAATTGTTTCTAATTTTTAAAATGTAAATGTTTTTTTTTTACCATTTTCAGTTCCGTATCCTTGAAATCTTTACAAAATCTGTGGGAAAATGCTGTCATTATATATTTACTATATCTATAGGAAGAGGCTGTCATAATATATTTACTGTATCTGAAGGACGACACTGTTTTTATAAACTTAATATATTTTATTTCTTAAATAATTATCCCATTAAAAAGAAATTCTTAAGTGGCCTAATCATAGCATCACTCATAAAATCTAACATCATATATCATGACGCATGAGATGCTCGCTCGTCAAGGTATTGTTTTTTTTAAGACAATGATTTATTTGTTAAGATGTTGTCACTTGACCATCTTCACACCAGATGTACACATACCTTTGGATCAGGAGATTTTGGAAGAACTAGAAAGAATAAAACAGAAAAAGAACAACTATGCCGACCAAGTTGTTGATGATCCCAAAGACCCAATTGTTTTGTGGTGGACAGAGTTCACAGGTGAACCAGGCAAAACACGGCGCTGTGGTGATCAACAATGTTTTTTTACAAATAATCGCAAATACAGCTCTCACAAACACATGAAGGTAAAAGGATTTTTTTAATGGAATGACTACATTTAAGAATAAAAGTTTTATTGGATGCAATTTCTTATGTGAAAATGTTAATATATTATACTTATTAAAAAAATATTAATCGACACCTTTTTGTGTGTTTCTTTTTAAAGGTGTTTATGTTTTATGGCACAGACTTCAATGATGAAGATTTGCCTTTACCAAGATCACCTGATCACATATGGGCGCTGTTCCACGAGGAGTCTCCGAAAAATAATTTCCTTTTGTGTCATGAAGATGTTCTAACATTGTTCAACTACACCAGCACGTTCAGGTAACATTCATTGTCCAAGCTATTCAGATGACATTTATGTACCAATTTATTCAGGCGACATTTCATTTACCAGCACACTCTGGTGACTTTTGTAAAACAACATATTCTAGTCACTTGCTATTTACTAGGATAATTAGTTGACTTTACCCACATAGAAATATTAAGTTAATTTTTTTACAAATACACATTAATGTTAACTTAAAAAAACTAGTTTGAAACTATTTACGTAAGCTGTAGGTTAGTATATAAACATGTACAACTTTAAAGTAGATTTATTTCAGTTATGAGGTCAATCAATCTTGTCATTATTTATCTTACAGATTTTTTACACTTTCATTAAGACTCACACTAATAAATTTATATTCTAAAAAAACTGTCACATTTGATATGTTTAATTTGGGATAAAAAACTATTGAGCCAATAAAAAGTTTTGTTCCATTTTTGCAGACGTGAGTCAGATTTCCCAATCACTACTCAACATCTGATTTCTTTAGACTGGCTGTTACAGAAGACATTTGACAAAACTGTCAGTCAGAAAAATAGGTGAATAGCAATAAATTTAAGAACATTTATACCGTTGATTTGGTAAATTTTTGGCAGACAAATCCAATTTTCACAATACCACATAAGCAAAATGAACACCTTATTCGCTAATAAAATTAGATATACAGCCTTACCGAATGATAAATATAAGATTATTGTGGTTTACCTATTTGCACATTTACTTTTAAATTACTAGTTGTTTAAGATTGGGGATATGTGGAAAAATAAATTCATTTGAAAATTAAGAGTTACAGTGAAAATGGGATGTTATAATTAATTAACTGTCTGCACAAAGTCTGTATTTTATTTGCCTTATTTTAAAATACCTTTTTACTGTGGAAACTAATTCCTCACAATCTTTACCTGACTTATATGTATAAATATATTTTTATTTGCTATTACTATTATTAAATTAAAATTTTCAACAGCACTCAAAAGTACAAGGTTTTTTTTTTTGCCCCCTTGTCTAGTCCTGGTTGCACTATTTACCCAAAAATTTAATAAAAAATAATCTAACATACAGAATTTTGTTATTTTTTTCAGTTACCAAGAAGAAGATGGTTTAGCATCAGTGATTTACGTCCAGTCAGGATGTGACCCCCCATCTGACAGAGATGAATTTGTTAAACTGTTGATGAATTATATTTCTGTGGACTCTTATGGAACTTGTCTTAAGAACAAGAAACTTCCTGAAAAGTATGTTGAGATAACAGTTTTCATTTGCTAAATTTTATTTCATTCATCTCATATATTTCATTTCAGATTAATGAAAGTTTTGTTTTTTTTCATTCCAAAATGGAAAAAAAAATTGTTGAAAAACCTAAAATTATCATGGTAAAATGGAGATATTGTTGCTGTATACACAATACACAATTAACGTGGGGTAAATTGATGTGCAAATCTATGTACATCAAATTTTGACAACTTTTTTTTTATACAGTAAGATTTTGATAATCCGGGATGCCTACTCTGAAAATTTTTTCTGCAGAGCGAGAATCGCAACATGATTTAAAGTTAATGCATTCTCATCCCTTAACATAACTAAAAACATTTTTTTAAACCCTTTTTAACAGTAACCTTTTCTAAAGTCACGTGGTAAACCATGTATTTAATATTTACAACACATGTTTATAGATGGATTTGAAAATCCAGATAAGCCAATAATCAGGATGGGTTGAAACTACAATTAGTACAGATTATAGTCATCTAAATGTTCTTCCATCTGGAAAACTAAAAGGGAAAAAAAGTCTATAAATTCAAACAAATCTTCTGTAAGCGTTGAACTCCCGAACTCTCTCTTACAAGACTCAAATTTTACATACTAAACAAATTTCAAATCAACAATGCTGCCTTGTACTGAAAAAAATTATATTTTTAAATTAGTTGTAAAGCTATATATTTTTTATTAGAAGTATAAAATATTTTAAAAGGTAAATAATTTTATATGTTTAAATGTCCAAATATTTGTCTCTTGTAAATAACTCAGACACCCCCTGTAAATAACACTTTTTTTTTACATGGTTTATCACCAGAATCAGTCATCCCCTGGGTGGTATGTCACACAGAGATTTTTATGAGCTCATCTCACAATATAAATTTGCCCTTTCAATGGAGAATGCAGTATGTGAAGATTACATCACAGAGAAACTGTGGCGCCCCCTGATGGTGGGAACTGTGCCTATTGTGTTTGGATCGTCTAGAGTCAAGGTAAAATGTATTATCTTAGAAGATATTAGTGCTGTTAACAGTGCTAGTTTAGTAGTTCCAAGTCTTTGGAAGATAGTATGATTAACAGTGCTAGTTTAGTAATTCCAGATTCTTGGAAGATAGTAGATTAACAGTGCTAGTTTAGTAATTCCAGATTCTTGGAAGATAGTAGATTAACAGTGCTAGTTTAGTAGTTCTAGGTCTTTGGAAGAATATATAATTAACAGTGCTCGTTTAGTAGTTCTAGGTTCTTGGAAGATAGTATGATTAACAGTGCTAGTTTAGTAGTCCTAGGTCCTTGGAAGTTAATATGATTAACAGTGCTAGTTTAGTTATTCTAGGACTTTGGAAGAATATATAATTAACAGTGCTAGTTTAGTAGTCCTAGGTCCTTGGAAGTTAATATGATTAACAGTGCTAGTTTAGTAGTTCTAGGTCTTTGGAAGAATATAAAATTAACAGTGCTCGTTTAGTAGTTCTATGTTTTTAGAAGATAGTATGATTAACAGTGCTAGTTTAGTAGTTCTAGGTCCTTGGAAGTTAATATGATTAACAGTGCTAGTTTAGTAGTTCTAGGTCCTTGGAAGTTAATATGATTAACAGTGCTAGTTTAGTAGTTCTAGGTCTTTGAAAAATATTACTAGAACAATGGCAAGGCATATTTTGGAACATCCATATTATAATATATATTTAGGGGAAAATTGAATGTTTTTTTTTAAAATTTGTGACTGTATGTTAATAATTTAAAATATTACAACTCACAACAGGACTTTCTGCCCAGTAACAACTCAGCCCTTGAGGTTATCAACTTCCGTTCAGCCGAACATTTAGCCACATACATCAACTATTTGAACAGCAAAGACTCACTCTACGACAATATGCGTGACTGGAAAAGCTCTGGCATCTCCAACACGTATTTAAAAGAGATCATGGAGAAACGTACGTGGGGGCCTGACAACAATGGTCACTGGATTCCTGGACAAAAGAACTTTATTGAAGATTATGAGTGTTATGTATGTGAACAAATTCATGAGACAATAAAGAAGGTTTCTTTAGGAGAGGGACAGTTTACAAAATGGGCCAATCACAGTCATTACGGTTGTCCAAAACCTTTGAAGTTCAACAGTTTAGGAAAGTATGCGCATGAGGGAAACTGGCTGGACTTTTGGAGCTCACAGTGGGAGAGACAGCGACAGAAGGCTTCCTCTTTGAGGAGATGTGTCAGTGAAGGCAGGTGTGACAGAAACAAGGCTAATCTGTGATGGCATATGTCAGTGATGGCAGGTGTGACAGAACAGGGCTAATCTGTGACGGCATGTGTCAGTGAAGGCAGGTGTGACAGAAACAAGGCTAATCTGTGATGGCATGTGTCAGTGATGGCAAGTGTGACAGAAACAAGGCTAATCTGTGATGGCATGTGTCAGTGATGGCAGGTGTGACAGATTGTCACAGAACGGTTGTTACGGAGGAGGGCTCCGATCCTGACTTACCACGAACTGTGTTGACTAAGTAGTGGTCAGTACAGGACCGCTCCTCTCTGTGATTTATATGGTGGGGGTCTAGGCGTTGAGACAGACAAAAGCACAACGTAGACTTGGACGAAATGCAACAACTCAAACTCCTGGTGTCCAACGATAATGAAAGTATGTTTATTTCTAAGATATAAGTTATTCTAGTCATCTGTCGTCTCCTGATCACTAGCAACTATTCCCCAACAACTGCTTGATTCTATCGTAGCTCTTTTCTCTCTCTTCCTCAACTACGTCGTACCTCTGTTCCCTCTTCCTCAACTCGTCGTACCTCTGTTCACTCTCCCTCAACTACCTTAACTCAGTGAAAGTTCCCTCTTATATGTGGTTCTCTACCCCCTATAGGTGGTCCAGGAATGCTATCTATAAACACACCCATGCCCCCTAATTTCCGGTCAATTAGACCTTCCTATTGTTAACCCAAAAATTATCATGCGAAGTCTGGAAAACCCGAACATACTATTATCCAAAGAAACAATCCCCACTATATCAAGATGTGAGAGTCTATTAACCTTAACTTAACCCCATTAACAGCAGTTTCCTTCCATCCTATAAGTTACCTCAACAACAATGGAGCTCTGTCCTGTACCCCCGCCCCAGTCATTTGTGACACAGATACAAGGCTAATCTGTGATGTGTCAGTAATAGCAGGAGTGAAGGAAACAAGGCTAATCTTTGCATGTAAGTGATGGTAGCTGTGACAGAAACGAGGCTAATCTATAACGAGTCAGTGATGGTACCTGTGACAGAAACAAGGCTAATCTTTGATGTGTCAGTGATGATAGCTGTGACAGAAACAAGGCTAATCTTTGACATCTTTCAGTCGTGATAGGTGTGACAGAAAAGGAATTATCTGCATCATAGTACAGACAAGATATGAACTTTATTTGAACACTTTTCTGCATACCATTTGTCTGATACCTGCGTTGTTATACATCATTTGGTGTAGTTTTGATCTCTGTGTATTAATACAATTTGTATGAAACATTGAACATCTGCCAAGTTTTGTTCACAAAGTTGTTCAGTGACATATTGACATGTATGACATTTTTGCCAGACTTGCTTTCAGCTCTGTGATATTTTGCATTTATTTCGATAAAATTATGTGTGACCTTGACCTGTGAAATGGCTGACTGATCCAAACATTATAATGATATGTTAAACAATGTGTTTATATGTGCATAAAATTTATCTATGTGTTAACAATGGCTTAAACCAGTTATGATATTTACTAAGAGACTGCATTTATTAGTATTTTAAAATGTATAAATGTCTACCCTCAGTAGTGCAATATTAAATACACAGTAATAGTGTAAATATTTAAGTACGCCTTTATGATGACACATGAGACAACGGTTTTATTGGATGCATGATGGCCAGTTTCGGTTGCAAGGTTTTCAGTCAAACATTCTATTATTTTGTCCTTCTCAAAAGCAGTATTGCCTTCTGACGATGTCGTTGTCCAGTTGTAGGTTTGTCGGCCATGCTGAGAAGACAACATTGAGACAACAAATTTCACATTGAAGAATGGTTCATGACGAGTGCATGCTTTCACCTGTTAGTATCTGTTATTAAACTACATAGATCAAAGTAAAATTCTGATATGAAAAAAAAAAAAAGTTATAATTAATGAGTTCTATAAATTAGTGTCCATTTTAATTCTCTTGGTGTCTGACAATATAAATATTGATTTGGGAATAATGGGGTTGACCTTATAGGTCAACTTTTTGACAGGCCAAAATATACTGTGTTAGTGTTAGTGTAGTTGACCTTATTGGTCAAAATTTTGACTGGCCAAAATACTAGATAAGAATAGTTGACCTTAAAGGCCAAAATACTGTTGACCTTAGGATAGTTGACCTGGTCGGTAAACTTTTTGACAGGCCAAAATACTGTGCTAGGATAGTTGACATTATAGGTAAACTTTTTGACAGACCAAAATACTATGTTAAGATTGTTGTCATATAGGTCAACTTTTTGACAGGCCAAAATACTGTTAGGATACATTATAATATTTGTTCAGATCTGCTCACATGCCAGTAACTGATCAGATCTGTTGGAAGGCAAGTTACTGTTCAAATTTGTCGAGAGACAGGTATTTCAAGTTTTCATTGATTAGAATATTTTTGTAATCTCTTCAAACTTTTTTAAAAATGTTTTCACAAAATATTTAATGAACTTGTCTTTCCAAATGAATTGTTACAATAAAATCATTTTGATGTTGTGTATAGAGGAGACCAACGGTTCTCAACCTGTGGGTCGCAAACCCTTTGGGGGTCAAATGACCGTCGGAAAAACACAAATGCTCTACATTTATGAAGTAGCAATGAAAATTATTTTGTGGTTGGGGTCGCCACAACATGAACAGTATCAAAGGGTCGCAGCATCCGGAAGGTTGAGAGCCACTGGAGTAGACCTATGGTAAACATGTTTTTTTTAGCTTGATTGCATTTTGTGTGTGTCATACCACCTGACAGCTGGATGTAAAAATGGGAGGTGCAAGATGTGTACTTGGGGGCAATGCTAACACATTCCCAGCACACAGTGTCAATGAAGAAAAGATTCAGGCAGTACTCAACAGCAAAACTTAGACTTTTATACTGACATGTCTGTCTACTCAGAAATACTAAGATATCCAAATGTTAGTACTGGGATTGTTGGTCCTTGTATCACGTGTTGGTCCTTGTATCACTTGTTGGTCCTTGTATCACGTGTTGGTCGTTGTATCACGTGTTGGTCCTTGTATCACTTGTTGGTCCTTGTATCACGTGTTGGTCCTTGTATCACTTGTTGGTCCTTGTATCACTTGTTGGTCCTTGTATCACTTGTTGGTCCTTGTATCACTTGTTGGTCCTTGTATCACTTGTTGGTCCTTGTATCACATGTTGGTCCTTGTATCACTTGTTGGTTCTTCTATTATTTGTAGAGATATTCATGTGCTGCCCGCATTAGTTGGTCCTTGTATCACTTGTTGGTCCTTGTAACACTTGTTGGTCCTTGTATCACGTGTTGGTCCTTGTATCACTTGTTGGTTCTTATATTATTTGTAGAGATATTCATGTGCTGCCCGCATTAGTTACTGTAAATACATATTTTTAACAGTTTCGATTGAAGAGATTCAGACTCATTTAGGCCACTGAGCTAGACATACAAGCTCATCAGACACATTTAGACCACTTAGCTAGACACACAAGCTCATTAGACTCATCTAGACCACTGAGCCAGATATACAAGCTCAGCAGACTCATCTAGACCACTGAGCTAGACATACAAGGTCATCAGACTCATTTAGACCAATGAAATAATATTTCATTTCTGATTGAATTAAAAATTTTGATTTAAAAATCTGAGCCAGATGCAGTTTTTAATACCCGATCTGGGTATTTTGTGATGATACCTGTGGAGACAGGGTTCCAATGTTAGAAAAAAAAGTTATCTTCTCATTTTCTTGAATAAATGTTAACCAATGGGGACAGCCCAACAAGTGACCTGGTTAGAGTTTTGCAGGGAAGCTGCCAATATTGTTGTTTTGGCCACACCCAAAAAATACATTTAAATCATACATAATGTTATTTTTAAAAGTAAAAAGAAACTGCCATTATGCTTATTCTTATTTTCAGATCTTTGTAGTTGCTCAGAGCTGTGTAGTGTCATTTAGTTTACAGTTTGCTCCTCACCAATCAAGTTTTATTATTTTTTTTATTTAATTCTGGTAAAATGTACAATAAATTATGTAAAAAAAAAAAAGATGTACTAGTTCCCTATTTCTCCTTTTTGGTTTGAACACATTATAGAACACACATAACTTTTAACACTGTGACTGGGTTCCATTTTTTTACAGTTTGGGGGTATGTGCCTGGTGTGCGACTATTTGACATTTTCAGACCTCCAAGTCAGTCGCCTGCTCAACCCTAATTATAACAGAACCAATACAAGCAAGAACTCGAGCTAATGGGGAGTTGAAAACTTTGCCATTTTAGTCGATAAACTCAAAACAATTTGGATTAAAAGATGTTTTAATTTCTAATAAACTGTTTGACAAATATTTGTAATTAATGCTAAGGATTTGAATGTGACTTAAAGTTATCTTTTTATATTAAACCACATCAACAAAAAAAATTGCCCAGACTTTAAACCACATCAATAAAAAAAATTGGCCAGACTTTAAACCACTTCAAGCAAATTTCCAACTCCCCTCTTGTCACATTTGTCAGTGACATGAGAAAGTAGAATGCTGAGGAGGGAGACTGTAATCATTGATATCTATCTAGCTATTTATCTCTTTATCTATCTGGTTACTTCTCGATAAAACTCTTGTTCAAAATGCTATTTCATCCCAACAAGAGATTTTATTTTTACGCCCTGTAATAGGAAAAATAATAAATATTTATTTACATGAAACATGAGTTAATTTATTACATTTGTTTGTATTTTTTTTTATCAAAAGCATGGTGTTAAATAAAGTATAAAAATAAATATTGAATTAAAATTAAAAGACCTAAAATAATAATTGTGTTCGGTGAAGAGCTTTTAACTTTTTATTAGCTTAAGAAATGGGAAAACGATATAAAAAAATATGCTAAAAGCATATTGTTGAAACTAAGCTACAAATACATGATTTGTATTAATGCATTTTACTTGTCACAAGAAAACAAGGTAGGCTTACTATACCCTCGGACCCTTGGTGAGGTTGTGAAAATTAAGTCATGCCGAACTTGTGAATAGACCAATTTGATCTGCGATCACTTTAGTTCAATCAATGTAAGTGTGATCTATGATAAGTTTCACCCTTTATAAGTAGCAAGTCGGCTGATCTAGTTGGTGCTTGCTTCACTCCATGATTCGTTTTAGGTCTATTGTAGTAATAATCAACAATTTACAAGAGATCTCGCCCTGGCTTGATGTTTTTTTGAAAGCCTACCCCAATAATGCCCTTTCCTTTACCTAAGCATTGATCATAGTGATAGTAACAAGTGCTGCAGAAATATGTAACAGAATATTTATGTAAGATTCATCATTAGTTTGAACATTTATAATTCATTACGCAACAATTGAAACGGTCATCAAGTTTAAGCTGACCCACATCATACATCTTCACCTCACCCACATCTTCCATCTTCAGCTGTCCCACATCATTACAAAAATGAAAGTACCATCACAGTTCAATGAAACAGAAAATAAATTAAAGATATAATTATTATAAATATTTTTATATACTGTCTTGATATTTATACAAACTATTTCTATTTGTAAATCGCATGGCTGCCTAGGCTGGCGGACTTTTTCTTCCGTGTCTGACACAGTCTTCCTGGTCTGGACCCTTCTGACACCAAGTTTCAGAGGCCATTCTGTGTGTACAGATCTGATATAATCTGTTTGTACTTCTTCCTGAGCCCGGGTCTACGGTTCTTGAATGTAGGAGTTAGGAGATCATTGTCTACTGAGAACAAGTTCCACTCCAGGTAAATGTCCTTGACCTGTTTGCAAAAGGAAAACATTGCATTTTGTATTTTCTTCTATGTGTCATAGCAGTGTGTCTCAAGTGAAAGAGAGCTGTGTAATATAATGTAACAGAGAGTGATGTGTGTCTCACATGAGGGAGAGTAACGTGTGACAGAGTAATGGGTGTCTTATTTGACAGAAAGTGACATGCATCTTAAACACACGTTTAGAAAAAGGATCTTACAAAATAGGGAGGAGTGGTTCTAAACAATACCTTTTTTCCCCCACAGCGACTGCTGCATCTAGCAACAGTATGAAACGTGCATCTTTCAGTTGGTTTCATAGAAGACTTGTGCCTGGCATCATTGTCCACTTGTGCCTGGCATCATTATCCACTTGTGCCTGGCATCACTTTCTACTATTGCCTGGCATCTCTTTCATTATTGTGCCTGGCATCACTTTCTACGTAAACCTGTCATCTCTTTCAACTTGTGCTGGCATCACTTTCTACTTGTGCCTGGCATCACTTTCTACTTGTGCCTGGCATCACTTTCTACGTAAACCTGTCATCTCTTTCAACTTGTGCTGGCATCACTTTCTACTTGTGCTTGGCATCATTTTCTCTTGTGCCTGGCACCACTTTCTACTTGTGTCTTGCATCACTTTCAAATTGTGCCTGACTTATCTGAGCCATATATTTTTCCTAACCTTATTCATTATGAAAATCATTTCAACTGATTGGAATCTGCTTCACTTCTGATATACAACATATCCCATTATATAAAGAGATTTGCATTGAACATTGGAAGTCTCCGCGTTATACTTTAAAACAA